TCTTGTGAGTCCGCGCGTGTAAGTACCACCACCCCGCCTATTTCTGCCGTGAAGCAGTAATGCGTTTCGGTTTGAAGGGTGGGGCAGCCGTTGGACTGTTAAAACTGAGACCTTACAACTCATATCTCAAGTTAGGCGGCATTTACGTTTGTAGACGTCTATGGGCTCCCGTAACCACTTAACATCAGGTGGGCCGTGAGCCCGTCCATCCATCTAAGCATTAAAATAATAATAAAAAAAAAACGTCTTATATACGCGTTGTTATGATTAGGGATTCTGCAAAGCACTGCCCTTACTAGGGCTTGTGTTAGCAACGTCGTTGGGTTAGAGCCCCGTGACCTAACCTACTCGCTCGTTAAAGCTGGAATACCCACTCGAGGTTACCAGCTCAGGTAAGAAAAAAATAAAATAAAGAAAGATTAGGTAATTATTTTTCTTGACAATATGCGTCTTAGTTGTTTCAAAGAACATTAAAGAGGAAGGTGTACACAAAAATTTTAGTTTAAATAAATTTTAATACTCGATGGTAGGTAGTAAGTAGCCAATAAGTCTTTTTTTTTTATTGCCTTTGTAGGCAGACGAGCATATGGCCCACCTGATGGTGAATGGTCACCGTCGCCCATCGACTTCAGCAATGCCAGGGGCAGAGCCAAGCCGCTGCCTACCGCAAATCGCAAGGTTAAATATCTTTCGTACGTACCAAATTGAGAAGCGAAGTTTAAAAAATTTTCCAAGTAAAATTTTTTAGCTAACACACGCTTCGAACACGATGCCATTCCCAAAACGTATTAATCCTTTTTGGGCGTCACGAAAAAGGAGGGCGAGATAAAAGCGTGATTAAACACGGCGGTTTGCGGAAGATTCCCGCGTCAAATCTTTAGCTCGTCCGTTTAATCTGTAACCTATCTCTGAAAAGGATTACTGATCTTTTTTTATGTAATAATGTGGCTTAAATTATAAGCGACGGCGATTTAAATTCATGAAGATCTTCTATGTTGCGTCGTGAATTGTATTGAGTGATGTGCTCTAGACACAGCTTTACTGAAGCACCTGACCCGCTTTCAGTGCTTCCGGAAGCTACTGGTAACTGTAGCTAAGCTTTAGCTAATGCAAAAGTCGTCGTACTCATACTCGAAGAGTTTCATGCGAAACTTAACCCATAGCATCAATCCACTGAGCTTTTTATCGGATCTTCTCGACTGGTCGCGATTGTGTGGTAGTAAATGCATTCACGAAGTAGCTGCCCTCGAGGTGTAAGGTTTTCTTCGCTCGGATGGCTGTTAGCAAATCCCTCCCCTCTCGGCTGAGTCCCTTCTCGCCCATCTGCCCTGGTGAAACCATAAAGGAATTTGGGCCTTCAGGAATCCTTCATAAAAACAAATAACTACAGTCTAATGGTTTAGAAAAGTTGGTTTTTGTGTGACGATCTAGCAATTATAAACGGAATACTTCTCTATTGGTCCTACGTATTGAAAGCTCGCATGGATGGATACCACTATCCTGCTTAATTTATGCCGCGTGCATGTTGCAAATTGGGTGGAGCCATGCATGTTACAATGTCTATAAAAAAAATAGCAACGCCTCCGCTTACACCTTGGACCGACCGTCTAATGTATCGGCATGCACAAAGCATTCGTTACTTAAGACCCTGATGCCGCGGCCAGCGGAGCGTGTAAAGTGAAACAGCTGCAATAGACGCTTACCGTGTTCTGCCCCATCTGTATGTACTCTGATTTATGGTCCGAACGTATGTGATCTTCGATTCAGCAAATAATAGAGACTAAACTTAGATGACAAGTTTTTGAATGTTGTTTTTCTTTCATATAAAATATTCGAGTTGAATAAGGAAATACACTAATCTAATTTCATTATTATTAGGCAATGCGGTTTGTTTGATATTATTTAAATAAGGTATTCTTTGTTGGTAGTGAAGAAAGACAAACAAGTCGATTTTAATTTTGAAAACGATAAAATTTTGTTGATCCTAGGCGCGCAATTATCGATTACATTCGTGACTTTTGAAAAGCTTACTCCTTATTCTCAATTTTTGACTATACATGTTCCTTACTGGCGGTAGGATCTCTTGTGAGTTCGCACGAGTTGGTACCACCGCCCTGCCTATTTCTGCCGTGAAGCAGTGATGCGTTTCGGTTTCAAGGGTGGGGCAGCCGTTGTAACTATACTGAGACCTTATCCTATATGAGACTTATATCTCAAGATGGGTGGGGCGTTTACGTTGTAGATGTCTATGGGCTCCAGTAACCATTTAACACCAGGTGGGCTTCACAGCCCACTCATATAAGCAATGAGCTCGTCCACTCATATAAGCAATAAAAAAAAATACATCTAGTTTTAGTAGATTCAGTTTTACTCTATTTTTATATAAGGTAGAGACCACATTCATTTTCTAAAGTTGAATAAAATCGATTTTCCCTTAAGATGGTATAAAAATTGAAATATACAGCGAAAATACGTTTAACGATCACAATCGGATGCCTCACGTGAAAAAACACTAGCATATTTCTTTGTGCCGAATAAGTTGACTCGATTTCGCGTAGTATCACGCAAAGTTATGTTTTTCCAACAAAAAATATAGCTAATACAGCGAAGTGCTTTCCGTAATAAATACGCTTTTTGTAAGGCACAAAAGCTCAGCCGGCGTGGACGCAATGTTACAAAACGCACCTAAGAAAGCTTCCTTACTGAATGCGAAACAACAAAATAGGTCTACCGATGCGTAAATTAAGGACCAGAGCGTATTCAGAGAGTGCAAATAAAAAAAAAATTGTTAATATAAAGAAAATATCTTGATGTCCCGCTGCGGTGCCCTCGATTGTTCTAAGACAAACAATTTCTTTGCGCTACCTCGTACAGTATTATTTTATTTTTTAGTAAATCAACCGAAAAGCATTGTGTTCGGCGCTTAGATTTTTCGATGCTTGAATTAATTTCGGTTGATAAGCACCCAACCGAACTATTGTGTTCGGGATACAACAAACATTCTGAATGAATCCTAGCTTACGTTCGCCTCAAACTGTGACCTATCGTTTGTCGTTCGATTTTCAACTCTATCTCAATTCGCTACATCCCTAACTAAAACATTAATCAAATATTTTAGATCGTTTAAATACAATCTGACCTTGATTCGCGTAGTCCAGCTCTCTGTCATAGATTTATTTATGCGTGCTGAAGGCTCGGAATATTAAAATATAATTAAAGCTTGAACTGCGTGCATATCCTTGCCTCCATAATCCTCAATGCTGAGGATCGTGGCTTCATGAGGCTTTCTTGGGAATATAACTACATAATAATATGGTGGGGTCCCATGTCCTTCCAAGACAGTGCTTTTGGAAGATATTTAGTTCTTCGAGACCTCTGAAGCCTTATTTGGGTCCGGCTAATTAACCGTAATTAATTAATAAAAGTCGAACTTCAACTCAACCCTCCTCTTTTCTCATCCGGGCATTGAGTCAATCTACAACAACCCTATTATCATCCCGAGTCTTTACTATCCAACATCTCTAAATAACATAAAACGTAACGACTCAATCGTATCTCAGTAACCGGGCGTGTCCAAATCCGTGACATTGCATCGAAAAATCTCACAATAGCCAAGAGCACCCATGAAATGAGGCCGGCATGAATTAGGGCTAGCACATTCTGGGTCTGCGTGCGTGACGTACGCCGCGTGGCTACTATTGTTGTTCCGTGCGAAACTGCATTGTAGATTCGGTTGTTCTCGATTGTTCGCTAGGCGACTCCTAATAGACCGGAACGCATTTTTTTGGCGTTTGTTTTCGCGTGTAATTTTATGGATATGTTGATTAATCGTGACATCTATATATTAATAAGTGAAGCAAAAACTTTGTATCCCTTTTTACGAAAATTGCGCGGACGGAGGAGTATGAAATTTTCCACAATTATAGAGATTACAGAGAAGTGCACATTGCTATTATTATTTTTTAAATAATGCATAATAGATGCATTAAATCAATAAAGAAAACATTACACACACTACCATGTATTTGACACACACACGTATGCATACTATTTCTTTATTCTCAAACTTTTCTTTATTGTCAGTTATAGTCTGTCAAATTGAGAACAGATTAAATACTGTTTTCTCTTTATTAATATTTGTCTAAAGTGTAGTCTTGACGAAATCTGTGATTAAAGAAGTATAATAGTCCTTGACAATAGAATCATAATAGTGTACAAACTTATAATTTCCATTAGTTATAGTCGAATTTCGACTACCAGGGGACCACTAGTCGATACTAATGTGTACGGTTTAATCTGTTTACTTAGCGTTTAAGTCGTCGGTTCTGAACCTAAATGGAATATAAGTTCACGAAAATACTACCTTTTATTTCTTACGTTCGGTCCTCAATTATTTTAACGGCTAAGCGAATAAAAGTTAGCATCTCTTGCTTATCACGCAAATCTTACGCTCCACATACCTGCGGAGTACAGTCGTGAACATAAAGCTTAGGGCAGTTACCGTAGACAGTAAAATATTTTAGCCACATTTTACGATCACGACTATTCAGCGTATATAAGGTTACGAGTAGGTATTTGGGGGCATTGAAACGAACCAATTCAATATTATGTCGAAGATTAGGTACATTTATTTTCTCACTTATTTACCTATAATAATAAAAAACAACATATTACCTAATTAAACCCTGTTCACATTAACGTACATATTTCCAAATTTGTCAAACATGTTAGAAAATTTTAATAAAAAAAAACATTCGTAGGTATATAATTTTGTGATTTTTCGTATAAACCACAGAAGAAAAAAACAAAAAAACATTTCTAATATCAGCAAATAAAATAATAATTTCGTAAGTAAAATAGCACGTAACCCACCGTAATAGCAACAAACCGTGAGGCTGTCTGTGGGCGTCCGATGTTTGTGTGCGGCGCCCACCCCGGGGTGAAGGCAGGCCCCGCCCAGCGATGCTCACACGGCTCAGTTGGAATCAGATAGCCCGCCAGTCGCTACCCAGCCGTGACTTAGTGAACGGTTCGCGGGCTCGCTTCGCATCCGATTATTACGCGCAACACTACCCAAGCGGTTTACGAACTTGTCAAATTATTTCGTCGCGTTACGATCTATTGGACTGTTACAGTTGTTTGTTTTTTTTTTGTATTGTTTACTCTCTTTATTGGCTTGAGTGCGTGTGATCTGTTTGTGTTCCGGGATATAGGTAGGTGAAATGTTTGTTATCCGGATATATCGACATAAAATTTAATCGAATGCGACTAGGGTAAATTTATGGGAAATCGAGAAGCGTTGTTGCCGTTAAAAATTTACATTAAAAAATATAATGTTTATTTTTCTAACTAACGTTTACCGAGAACTTACAATTTAACGCCAAGAACAAGACCTGGCTGTATAGACTAAAGTCCTTTGCCTTTCCCATTAGGGATAAATTAATATCATCATCATTAGAATTTGACGTATCATACATTTAGTTCTAATTTAAATAATATAACAGCGGATTTAAACAATATGCAACACTCACCTTATATATTGAATTTAAGATTACAATTTATCACTTCTAAGCTTTTTAATATTTCGTAAATTTCCCAAATTTTTTTAAACTTGAATTCTTAAATATAAATACATATTTCAATACAAACGCAAATCAATGATTTTATCGGAACATCTAATTAAAGAAAAAAAATACATTTAGCTTTGACTATTATTCGCTGATTGGAAAAAGTGAATACATTTATTAAGAAAAAATTAGTAGTATGAATTTTGAGTTAAATGGTCTTGCCACTAATGCAGCAATCAACATTTTACATTACATTTTGGGGACGAAAATAGGTAAAGTAATTTTGATTACAATTAACCTAAAATTATCGAGATTAAGTTTGTTTCACTTTGACTACATTCAACTTCTTTTCTATAAATATTTTTAAAACATTGGATCACTATATAGTACAATCCATGCTACAGTACTTAAAATAAAAGAAACATAACCCATATTAACAACAGTTTTTTTTTTTTTTTATCCGAAATACATAACTATAGTATACCTAATAATGATATCTTATTTTATACACATACCTATATATTTATTTGTAACTCTTCATTTATTCTATTGAGCGTTTTCCCTAACCTGTATCTTGCTCCCCGAAGTAATTCGATATTTTTGTTCAATAATAGCCGGACCGGTTTTTTTTCTTTCTGGCAACACAACAATTTAATATTAATGCATTGTTAAAGATAATTTGCAATAGTAAACATTTGGTCGCATTGTATTCTACAATCGTTTTTTTTTTCGTCTCGTAACTTGATCCAATTTTTGAGGTTTGATCTCGATTTAAATATCGAATTAATTTTTGGCGCAATCACTTTCAATATTCTGATAGTAGGTATGTATTTCATCTAATAAATATTATATTTAGATTCTTGACTTTTTGAAAACAATACATGTGACGATTTTAATGTCATACTAAAATATAAGTTACCGACTGATAATAGACACTCTTATTCTTTGTACTCACTTAATAGTGTACTTTTTCAGTTTTTTTTTAGTAGATAAATAAAATTTCAGTTTAATAACGGCTTCAACTTCATGTCTATGGACAACGGTATCCACATCTCAATATCTATAGGTTTATTTATAGGTGGTCACTTAACACCAAATGGACCGTGAGCTTGTTGTCGAACTTTGCTAACTATCAAAAGTATTTTAGAATTGGAATTTTTCACAGCCAAAGAATTAAGACGGGTAAAATATAAAAAAAAAACAAAAAAAAACATTTTTATCTATTATTATAGTTCGCATATCTTTTTTGTTAGATTCATCTAACAATATCACTAAAATTTGTTCTATTTGAGAAAACTTCCTAAGCACTAAATCTATAAATGCAAATATGTATTAAAAATAAATCTAAATACGTACGTATCAATTTTATTCAAAATCGCCATTACATAACCCTACTTACATATTATTATGTTACACAATATTTTTCAAAATCGTAAAACGTCACAGATAATGCAAAATACTAAAAAAAAAAAACCAAATCGAGATCCCTTCGCTTTGATCGTACCGAGCCCAAATGTAGTCCATTGTAGTGAAATATTAGTTGCACAGTAATTTCGTTAAATAGAGACCTTTCGTTTTGAATTGTGAGTTCCGAATAATTTCTGCGGTAAACGATACTCGATGTACAATGCGTGACATTGATGTAGGATCGGCCAATTTCACAACAAAAACTATCTCCGAAAACGCAGGAGCCCTGACGGAGTACCAGAAGTTTTTTGTATTACATTTTCCTTTTTTTGATAATATTTGACGTCTCTAAATAGGGTAATTTAATTGGTTAGTGTACTAAATCCTTATTTAAATGTACACGATTATTTATTAATTAAAATAATGTAGATTAAGTATCATATTCGTGAATGATAGAAAATGCAACATTAGGATATGAAACTAGCCAAAATAGTTTTAATAATTTCTTTACTATTTTTGATTACTAGTTTTATTTTCAGTTTTAAAAAAAGGCTGTAATCCTAATTGCTTAAATAGCTTATCGTAACAGTAACTTTGAACCTTTCCTCGAATCGACTAAATTATTCGATTCTATCAATTCGAAATAAAAAAATCGATATTAGGTACCTACATGATCCTGAAAAAAAAATCGCGAATAAATTCAAAAGCGCCGACGACTACACTAACTACCATTATTTACACTTCAAAGCGAAAGAGTGTTGACACGGCCATTATGTAACATCTCTCTAGGGAGTCTCTCGGTACGCTCACGAGTTTTTTTTTTTTTTTTTCGGTATTAATGACATTTTTTTTGCCATTGACAAAGAGAGTTATAACCATTGACATCTGTTCTCACGTGGTGTCGTTGCACGGTGCTAAATGCGATTCGGTTTTTGTGTTCGCATGTATATATGACATTCTGAAGCATGTAAGTGCTTGGGGCTGTCAAAATTTATCGTGACAATTCTGTTATTTGTTATTATCCCGACAAAGGAATTCGCTTAGTTCAGATAGAACTCGAAAAGTGTGTTCAAAATGAACATACGTACCTACGTGTGAGATTGTTTTCATTAGTAATTGAATTTTTAGTGTTTTATTTTTTAATTTTATTTCAAATATGTAATAATTCTTTTAAAGTAATTTTTGTTCGTTGTAAATTGAATTCCAAATAAATATAATTATTATTACTAAATTCAATCTTTTTTCATTGTATTTATTTTAAGTCCTTAGCGAGTCTTATCCAAGTGAAATTAGCGTTATATTCATGATTTTACAGTATTGAACTTATTCAAAATCATCATATTACTAGCTGACCCGGCAGACTTCGTAGTGCTTCAATCGATAAATAAAAGACCTCAACTTTTGTATAAAATAAACTTAAAACAAACAAAAGGAATCCGTCCGACGGGGGACACATCAAAGGTAAAACAAAATTGTTATTTTTATTCAATTCCGAGCATTTTCATGTTTATCTACCTTTTAAACCTTCTCTGGGCTTCCACAAATAATTAAAGACCAAAATTAGCCAAATCGGTTCAGCCGTTCTCGAGTTTTAGCGAGACTAACGAACAGTAATTCATTTTTATTTTATGAACAGATATGAGTAGAAGGGTTATTTTGATAATATCCTGAAAAGCACCCCACGCTTTTTTACAATAAAATAATTTTTTCTTACACTATTTTTAATTCAAATTTATTAAAATTTATTTTCTATTTTTTAGTAGGATTTTCTATAAAAGCGTATTTTTGTACTTTTTTTAAACTATTATTAATGTTTCATTTTTTAGTTCAATTTCAATTTTTTAATTTTTTTTTAAATATTGATTTTTCATCGGTCCTTAATAATTATGCCATTCTCGAGTTTTAGCGAGACTAACGAACAGCAATTCATTTTTATATTATATATAGATAGATAATCTCTTTAAAGCGATTTCAAGAAGGAGCTAAACTTCATCGAAATGTTCTCAAACAAAAACCTTAATAAATAATCCTCATACTAAATATTAACATCCATCATACTTCCAGTGTTACAATATCTTAAAAGAGCCATATCAAAAAACCAACACCTCTCCATTTCCACGGCATCGCCCTTCAAGTTTAAAGGATTAAGATACAGACTCATTTAATGTGAAAAGGTTTCCATGTACTTAAAATAAAAAGCTCGTGATCGGGATGAGCTTTTTATTTTAATACTCGAACACAGTCGGCGGATCGTCGAAATATATTCAATGGTGATTACTTATATCATTCATGTGTATTTCTTATTTTTTCCGTTTTTAAATCAATACTTTGTTGCATTAAAATTTATCGCTATATGTATCTAAGTATGCATAATCGATACGTATAAGTTATATATTATTGTCCGTGTAGGCAGACGAGCATACGGCCCACCTGATGGTGGGTGGTTACACTCGCCCATGGACTTCAGCAATGTCAGGGGCAGATCTAGGCCGCTGCCTACCCATTATTACTTACTACCATATATTACATAAGTCGATTTAAATAGATATGATGATATACTATCTTATAGTATAGGTACGAGGTCCAAATATTATATCGTAAATATCAGATATACATATTATGAAAATTTGAGAACCAATTGTGATATGAACGTTTGTATGTATGCATTGTGTGTAATTTATTTATTTATTAAGTTGCAACAACAAAGTGATCATCAATACAAAACATTGACAAATTGACAAAAGTTCATGGCAGATGTCACCTCAATTATAGGTGCAATCGACAGTGCATTAATAACAAAAAATAATAATAATAATAATGAAATATAATCGATCATAGCTACTACGCCCAGATTTTAACAATGATAATACCGTTGGTTACCGACTTCTTCTATGTTCTTCTCAAAGAAAATCGCAATAAACGTATTTGATTTATGCTTATAACTGTATCCGTGTATGACCGGTCGAAACTTTGAGAATCGATTGCATTCGCGAAGCAGCTGCCCTTGAGTTGTTAGGTCTTCTTCGGAGGCGCTCGGACGGCTGTTAGCAAATCTCATTCAGACTCCTGTCCTGGTGAAACTGGAAAGGTCTTTTCCTGGTGGTAGGACCTCTTGTGAGTCCGCGCGGGTGGGTACCACCACCCTGCCTATTTCTGCCATGAAGCAGTAATGCGTTTCGGTTTGACGGGTGGCGCAGCCGGTGTAACTATACTTGAGATCGTAGAACTTATATCTCAAA